AAAAAGAATATGAAAATGAATGTATGTATATTCATGTATGACTGAAAAATTGTGCTGTACACCAGAAATTGACATAACATTGTAAACTGACTATAACTCAATAAAAAAAAAGAAGATGATAGGAAAATGGGGAAAAAAACTAGTTTAGTGGAAAGTTAGCCAGCTTTCATTATAGAAATATTTCACCTATCTTTAGCTCAAGAATGCGGTGAATTCTTGGTTCACAGTTCTTACTTAAGTAGACACGTACAAAAGCCACGTTGCCTATGGCATGCAAGTAGAATATTGATAGCATTTATTTGTGGTTTCTGCCTGTTTTTTTTTTCCCTTTTCTGTTTCCTCTATCGTTTTTAAAGACCAAGAGATGATTTAAGGATTGTGGAAGTTGTCCTCAATCATTTGCTGGTGAACCATTACTATTCTTGTAATTTCAGTTTTTGTTCTTCTGTTGACAACTTGGTACTGTTAATGAACTGCCACTGATTAATTTTATAATTTTATATTTAAATTGACTATCAGAATTTAGATAAATTTGGAATATTTCATAATCATATTTTTATTTTTGTATTTATGCTGCTAGCTCTATTGTTCATCTAGTGATTTCTTTCATCAAAACTTTCTTGTTCTGTGTACCTTAGCCTCATTTTTGGTCAGTTGACAGTAATACAGTATAATAAACAATTCTAATTTATGTTACCCTGTTAAAGGCTGGAAATTGCTTCTTATTCATCTGAGGTATCAGGTAGCATACAATTTGTTAATATTTTTCAAGATAAAATAACCTGGTTTTGTTGGATAATCCAAAACACGTCTGCAGTAGGATTTTACAGACCAGTAGAAATGCAAGCTTGTAACACTGCCCATTGATTTAGGATATGTTTCTGGGCAGTGTAATCTCCCTACAATTACAATACAATAAAGACTATTGTCGACAATAATAGCTATTCTTAGAAACATATCTGATAAATTGCTAGAAATTATATAATTAATCCAGTGCCCCCCCTTTTTTTTCCTCACAAGTGATAAACCAGACATCTCTGGAGATTAAAATGCCTTGGCCAAGGTTGGACAGCGCATTGGTATGAGAACCGAATCAGCAAAATCCTGTTTTCCTTCATTTCGTTTTCGGACAGAGTTCTTACATCTATGGGTTGATATTTTTCATCAAGTGTGGAAAGTTTGTGCTATTATGTTTTAACGTTGTTTCTGCCCTTTACTCTCCTTTCTTTCTGGGACTCCAACTAAATGCACGTTGAATATACGTATTCTCTGTTTCGTACACTTGGTTCTGTGTTTTCTATTCTTTTGTCTTCTGTGCTTTATTCTGGTTAGTTTCTTCTGAATTTTATTGCAGTTCACTAATTTTTGTTTGATTGTATCTAATAGGCTACTAAATCTGTTAGTTCATAATTTTGGTTATAGTTTAAATCTTCTCTGTATTCTCTGAGTTTCTTTCTGCTGAATATGAAATTTTGTCTCTTAGCTCCTTGAACACGGCAAGCAGGTTTACTTTAAAAACTCTGATATCTAGAGCTTCTGTACATCTGTTTCACTCTGTTGTTTTTGCTTGGTTTTGCTCGTGTGGTCTCCTATCTTTGCGTGTCTGGTCATCTCTGGTTGTAAGTAGCCTGGGAGGGCTGGCTTACTTACAATTTTCCCTTATGCATACGGTGCAGGTCTTTGGAATTCCAGCCCAAGACACTACGGATTTATCTGAACTCAGCAGACCTGGACTCCAGATTTATCCCACTAGGTGAAGAGACTGTCAACAGTTCTGGGTTGCTTTCAACAGCCTCTTCTGGAACTTGTCCTCAGGCAAAAGCCAATCCAGAGGAAAAGCCCACTTCTTTGCATTTACATGCTTTCCAAGATCTGAGTTCAGTTATTCTTCACTGTTTTGTCAAGTCTCTGATGCCTTCAAGCCAATGTTTTTATACTTGATTCAGCTTTTTATTGTCCTCAGCAAAGGGGTTGGTTTTAATTACTGAGTTCTCCTTTACTAGAACTAAAAGTGGCCTTTCCTTTCCTTTATTTTAAAAAAGATTTATAATTTTCAAATATCATCATTACAAAAAATTTAAATGCCTAAAAATAGAAGAATAGAAACTCTCTCATAAACTCACTCCTTAATTATATTTTTGTCAATTGCCTCCCAATCTGTTCTCAGTAAGTTTTACATGACATTGTTTATATTATATTGCATTCTGTATGTATATTTTTATATCTTTTAAAAACTTAATATATACTGTATGCATTGCATGCTATTATGCAGTATACTTAAATTACCATTTTGCTTAACTACATGGTCTACTCATTAGATATATTACTTCAGTTTGTGGAATCATTGTTTTATGTTTTGTCATTTAGGTTTTATTCAGTTTTCACTATTGTAAATAATACATTAGTAAACATTTATGCTCAAATAACTTTGTCTCAAAATTAGAATTATTAATTAAGATACATTCTTAGAAGTTGATTTGCTGGGTCAAGGGAATGAATATTTTTAAGGCTCCTGGAACATATCACTGAATGACCTTTCTTTTTTTTAACATTTTTTATTGATTTATAATAATTTTACGATGTTGTGTCAAATTCCAGTGTAGAGCCCAATTTTTCAGTTATACATGAACATACATATATTCATTGTCACATTTTTTTCTCTGTGAGCTACCATAAGATCTTGTGTATATTTCCCTGTGCTATACAGTATAATCTTGTCTATCTATTCTACATTTTGAAATCCCAGTCTATCCCTTCCCACCCCCTACCCCCTTGGCAACCACAAGTTTGTATTCTATGTCTATGAGTCTGTTTCTGTTTTGTATTTCTGTTTTGTTTATTTTGTTTGTTTGTTTTTGTTTTTTTCAGATTCCACATATAAGCGATCTCATATGGTATTTTTCTTTCTCTTTCTGGCTTACTTCACTTAGAATGACATTCTCCAGGAGCATCCATGTTGCTGCAAATGGCATTATGTTGTTGGTTTTTATGGCTGAATAGTATTCCATCATATAAATATACCACCTCTTCTTTATCCAGTCATCTGTTGATGGACATTTAGCCTGTTTCCATGTCTTGGCTATTGTAAATAGTGCTGCTATGAACATTGGGGTGCAGGTGTCATTTTGAAGTAGGGTTCCTTCTGGATATATGCCCAGGAGTGGGATTCCTGGGTCACATGGTAAGTCTATTCCCAGTCTTTTGAGGCATCTCCATACTGTTTTCCACAGTGGCTGCACCAAACTGCATTCCCATCAGCAGTGTAGGAAGGTTCCCTTTTCTCCACAGCCTCTCCAGCATTTGTCGTTTGTGGATTTTTGAATGATGGCCATTCTGACTGGTGTGAGGTGATACCTCATTGTAGTTTTGATTTGCATTTCTCTGATAATTAGTGATATTGAGCATTTTTTTATTTGCCTTTTGATCATTTGTATTTCTTCCTTGGAGAATTGCTTGTTTGGGTCTTCTGCCCATTTTTGGATTGAGTTGTTTGTTTTTTTTCTTATTAAGTCATGTGAGCTGCTTATATATTCTGGAGATTAAGCCTTTGTCAGTTTCATCTTTTGCAAAAATTTTCTCCCATTCCATAGGTTGTCATTTTGTTTTGCTTACGGTTTCCTTTGCTGTGCAGAAGCTTGTAAGTTTCATTAGGTCCCATTTGTTTATTCTCACTTTTATTTCTATTGCTTGGGTAGACTGTCCTAGGAGAACATTTTTGAGATGTATGTCAGATCATGTTTTGCCTATATTTTCTTCTAGGAGGTTGATTGTATTTTGTCTTATGTTTAAGTCTTTGATCCATTTTGAGTTGATTTTTGTGTATGGTGTAAGGGAGTGTTCTAGTTTCATTGCTTTGCATGCTGCTGTCCAGTTTTTCCAACACCACTTGCTGAAGAGACTGTCTTTATTCCATTGTATATTCTTGCCTCCTTTGTTGAAGATTAGTTGACCAAAAGTTTGTGGGTTCATTTCTGGGCTTTCTATTCTGTTCCATTGGTGAATATGTCTGTTTTTGTACCAATACCATGCTGTCTTGATGGCTATAGCTCTGTAGTATTGTCTGAAGTCTGGGAGAGTTATTCCTCCAGCCTCTTACTTTTTCTTGAATGACCTTTCTTAAGACATAGCTATAAGAACCTTTTACTCCATCTCCATGTTCCAACTCCTTTGCCATATTGTTTTTCGGCCAAACTTGTTTTTAACATTCATGTCAAAATAAACATTGCCTTTAGGATAGTCTAATATAATTAAGAATGATATTGAAAGACTATTTAATTTTTAACCACACTGTGAGGGTGACCATAAAGTTTTTTCTTAGTAAGAAGGGAATCAATTGGATGTTATAGCTTTTTGCAATGACAGTTTAGTGATGACCCTCTGGATACTATTTTATTAAAATTTTTTTTTTGTTTTCACATTCTTTTTCTTTATAGGTTACTACAAGATACTGAATATAGTTCCCTGTGCCATACAGAAGAAACTTCTTGTTTATCTGTTTTATATATTGTAGTTAGTATTTGCAAATCTCAAGCTCCCAATTTATCCCTTCCTACTCCCTTCACCCCCGTAACCATAAGTTTGTTTACTGTAACTGTGATTCTATTTCTATTTTGTAGATAAATTCATTTGTGTCTTTTTTTTTTTGAGATTCCACAGATGAGTGATATTATATGGTATTTTCTTTCTTTCTGGCTTACTTCACATAGAATGATGGGATTCTGGATCATATGGTAAGTCTTTTAGTTTTTTGAGGAATCTCCATACTGTTTTCTGTAGCGGCTGCTCCAAAAGTACATTCTCCCCAACAGTGTAGGAGGCTTTTCTCCACAGTCTCTCCAGCATTTGTCATTTGTGGACTTTTTAATGATGGCCATTCTGACTGGTGTGAGATGATACCTCACGGTAGTTTTGATTTGCTTTTCTCTGACAATTAGCGATATTGAGCATTTTTTAATGTGTCTATTGGCCATTTGTATGTCTTCACAGGAGAGTTGCTTGTTTAGGTCTTCTGCCCACTTTTGGATTGGGTTGCTCGTTTTTTTCATATTAAGTTATATGAGCTGCTTATAAATTCTGAAAATTAAGCCCTTGTCAGTGTCATCATTTGCAAATATTTCTCCCGCTCCATAAGTTGTTGTTTTGTTTTTCTTATGGTTTCCTTTGCTGTGCGAAAGCTTATAAGTTTAATTAGGTCCCATTTGTTTATTTTTGCTCTTATTTCTGTTCCCTGGGTAGACTGCCCTAGGAGGATATTGCTAAGATTTATGTCAGAAAATGTTCTGCCTATGTTTTCTTCTAGGAGGTTTATAGTGTCTTATATTTTTCATGTCTATAAGCCGTTTTGAGTTTATTTTTGTGTGTGGTGTGAGGGAGTCTTCTAACTTCATTGATTTACATGCTGCTGTCCAGTTTTCCCAACACCACTTGCTGAAGTGGCTATTTTTTCCTCCGTTGTTCGCCTCCTTTATCAAAATTAATTGACTATAAGTGTGTGGGTTTATATCTGGGCTCTCTGTTCTGTTCCATTGATCCATATGTTTGTTTTTTGCCAATACCACGCTGTTTGATACTGTTAGATGCTACATTTATTCGCATCTAGTATAATTGACTTTGATTTTGACAAATTTCAGAATTCCAATTTTCTTTTAGAAATAATTGTTATGTTTTTGTATTTCCACATTTTTGGCTATTTGCTTGACTGAATTGAGTAAAGTAGGAGATCTTCTCCGTCTGTCTTAGCCGTGTGATGGTAGAAAAATCATTTCTTCTCTCTGATCCTTAGTTTCCTCTTTTGTAAAATTGAGATAAACTGAGGTACCTTGTGCTTATAAGTATCTGGTGTTACTTAATGTGGGAAAATCATCAAACTTTCTTCTGACCATGTTTAAGGTGAAAAAAAACTGTTAAATATCTTAACAGCAACAATAACAAAGTATCTTAAGTATTGTGAAATATCTTATGCTCTTAGGATGACTTATTGGGGTAAATGCAGGTTCGGGCATGTTAATTATTAAAGTGAATAATATAAAGATTTTGTGCAGAATTTGATGACAGTATCTAGAAGTCACGACATTTCGGTTTGATGTGCTGGGTCTAATTTATATGTAAATATAGGCCCTGTACCATGACCTAGACATTTGAGGACTGTTTTAATGGTTTATTCTGGGAAACCAGTGTATTTCTCTACTTGAACATTATGCTTGAAAGCACTCTGTAAAGGGTATTTTAATATGTACATTTTAAAAAATAAAAAGAAGTGGCACAGTTTGGAAACTCTCTGGTCCAAACAGGTTCTAAAAATATTGAGATGTGTAAGTATAATTAATTTTCGGTCAAGTCACTTTTGTGCCTATTCTGGAGTTTATAGGACAATGGTCAGCTAGAGGAACCGCAGAGGTCTGCGCGGACCTGGGGGGTTATGAAGCCCTTTGCCTACGAGTGAGTATACAATTCTACATCCTGACTCTACAGTGTCTCGGGGTATGCTGAAGACATTCAGCTGAATTCTGGCCAATTTAAAACAGGAAAATAGAAAAGTAGATTAATAGAGCTTGTCAGCTGGGATCCCTTGAGCAGACCCTCACATGCCTCCAAATGTAAAGCTTCAACTCCGCCGTGCAGTATGACATTTTACCTCGTTCAGTGTTTCTAAACCATTTCATGGTGTGGGAAACTTGTGAGCTTGTCTAATGTTTTCAGTACTCATTATAGCCGGTTATCAGTTCATCCCCCATCTGCCGAAGCATCTGCCTTGTGCAGGGGTGAAAAGCCTGCCTACCAAGGGAGTATTTGGGGCAACTGGCAAAAAGTGTGATTCAGCTGAGGGTGGTTCTCTGCAGGCTTTGAAAGTGCCTCAGCACAAGAACACCTTTGTTTGGGATACACAGACCTGCCATCATAAATTTCAGAAATGCAGTTCTGTGCTAATGGACCACTGATTTTTATATTTTTAAGAAATAGAGCATAATACTATCCACAAATCTTCATTCTAGCAACCATATCCTGAACAAGGGCACCCGTACACATTGAAAGAGGCCACATATAAAGTTGCAATTAAAGTTGTCTTTGTAGAGTCAAGAAATCTAAACCTGGGGATAAAAATGACACCTGTGCCCTTCACATCCTTCAGATAGAAAGGAGCACGTTTCAGAAGTTAGGGGGATAAAGACAGGTATTTCAAAAATAAAGTTTGGGAATATAAAAAAACTGAAGGACATTGTGACCCTGGATGGCCATATTTGACACACAAAGCCTTCCACAGTGACTGCCAAGGACGGTTCTTTTATCTGCAGGCTGCAGGCTGAAGGAAGACAGCTTTGGAGTGCAAATCTAATGATACAGATCTGTAATTCTGGGGACGGCTGTGGTGCTAATCACTCTAGGATTCTGATTGCCACCCGTGGGCTAACCAGCTTGTTCTTGGTATCATGCGCCCACAGAACACCTCTCTCTTTTTAGTAAACCTGGAATTTTCTTGGGAGATTGAAAATCGCTGGTGAAACCCCAGTCTTTGATACACGTCCACACGGATACGGAGCAGCTTTGAAAAAAAAAAAGCCACATATAGCAAGCAGATAATCAAGGGCTGATTTTTATTAAAGGATTATTTAGTTTTACGAAAGTTTTACGGTGGAGTCCCCTTGGGTTCGTCCACAATTTATCGGAGAGGCTAGAGGAGGGAGGGAAAAGACAGAGGAATTTAGAACTACAGTGTCAGGAATAATTCTCGTTGGAAGACCTATTGGAGATGAAAACAAAATGTATCTGGAGCTAAGTGGAAGGACCAGGTTTGACGTGCGCCCAGTTTTCCAGGAGCTCATTTATTTATGAAATAGAGCTCCCCCTGTAGGAAAGGCAGCGCATAACTGACCAGGTGACGGCACCTCCTGGGCCCTGCCTCAGCCAGTGTAGTTGGGGGCGATCATGATTCTTACACTAAGACTATTGTTTAGATTCAAATTTGGCTTTCAGAGTGAATTGTTTTAGGGCAATAATTACTCATTTTAAGTTGCCTTTAAGTCACGAGGTGGTAGATGAGACTGTTGGTTTGATTGTCCATGACAACCTTTGGTTTGAAAATCTAACAAATCTCCAGTAATTTCTCTTCAGAGTCCCACACTGGTGAAGACCAGTTTTTGATAAATCTTTAACAGGAATCAAACGCATTAATCTTTAAACCAAATGAGTATTTGCTTTGTCTTGAGGGCTTCATTACTTCTCTCATTCAGGACAGATAATGATCATACTATTTTTTTGGAGGGAAGGGAGAAAGTTTTGGCTTTGCTTTTGTCCAAGATGAACAAAAGGCAGAAGCATTTCAAATCACTGTCTCATTCTCTTCATGAAAATACAAACAGAAACATCCTTGAACCAATACAAACATTAATATCCTCATGCACTTTTGTTTCCCTTACAAATGTTGAAATAAAATGTGGATTGTTTTCTAATTTGACCAAATTTTCTTCACTACTCCTAAGAAGTACTCATATTTCTGTTCTTCCTGTCTTTCCTTTACTCTGTGAATAGCAAAGCAGGGTTTGCATACCTGGTTCTAGAGAGTCTCTGGCTTTAGGAAAAAGTATAGAAAAGTTAGTACACAGATCTTACACTGTCCCAGATGCCACGGGTTAGTAAAGGCAAGAACTTCTTTATTGTTCAGCATAGACTTCTTTCTTTAGAAGCGAATTTTATTCTTTATGCTGTCTTTTTTACTAATGTTCATTGATTGCTGTTCACTGTACTATTCATAACACAAAGCTGAAATCCCTCTTTTTATTAATTGTTTAATTGATGTACAGTTCATTCACAATGTTGTGTTAGTTTCTTTTATGCAGCATATTGATTTAGTTATATATATATTCTGTTTCATATTCTTTATCACAAAATCTATCTTGATTAGATCTATCAGTGCCCATGTGTCCTGTCCACTGAGAACAGGATGTTATAGGACCAGAGTGGATCCCAATAGCAAGCAAGTCTTTGGGTGATGGAGCTGATTTTAGAGTCTTGCAGGGACTTAGTGCTGATTTCAATGTTATATCCTGAGACCCGCAAGCTAGGATGCTCTGTCCTAGTGTTTGCAGAGGTGAGCCTGGTCTGCAAGTTCATAATCTCAGATCATGGACTGGAGTTAAGTATCAGTACATAGTGTTGTTGGGTGTCAAGACAGCACCAAATATTAAATAGCGCGTCAGGAAAAATGTATCTACACACTTGCTGACAGTTCATTTCCAGGCGGGAGCCTCACGTCTGCTCCGTACACTGCAACTTCAATCTTCTGCTGTGAAATTTTAGACAGCTTGTCTTCAGAGGCTCTGCCAGACCTGTTAATATTTATATATTCCATTCACACTCCAGTCAGAGTGTATAAGTTGCAGATCTTTCTGATTTGGAAGCTATTAAGATTCATGACCCTTTAGCTATTTACTCTGTGTGGTCCAGGAGCCTTTGCAATCAGCTTACACTTAAGGAGAAAGCACAAATCATTACTGTTCAAATGTTGTCCTGTATTGTGACCGTTTGTAGTCCATCAAAGGGGTGTTAAGAGCTTTAATGCATTCATTTATCTCAGAGACACAGGCTATTAGATGAGGCATTCTTCTCTTGGAAAGGGATAGAATAAGTGTTACTTACACCAAAAATTGCTTTTTTAATTCCAAATTAGTAACTCTGACTGAAGCTTCATATG